CCCCAAGCTGCCCTCCTGGTGGGTCTGCAGGGGTCAGGTGAAGGACGGGCCTCCTGGAGGGTACCTTCCCATTCTCACAGCCCTGAGCCCATGCATTCACAGAGGAGGAGCACCTTCCACAAAGAACTGCTGACTCTTTGGCAGAGTCAGGGGTCACTAAGGGCCAGAGTGTATCCTCACCAGGCTGGGGCTGGAGGAAGTCGAGCTGTTCCCCTCTCAGAAGGCAAAAGGCCAGACCTCACAACGGAGCTAAAGCCCTGATGGAAGCAATTCCAGGCCAGCCAGACCATTCCCGTCTTCCTGGACCCTGGTCCCAGGAGCAGGGCAGGTGGGAAATGTAGACCCTGCATCCTGGCTCTGCCTTTGCCAAGGAGTCACCGAGGATCTGGCACTGAGCTGCATCCTGCTGGGCCGCCCTGAGGAGAATCACTTACATTCAACCATCATTTCCTGAGTACCTGCTGTGGGCCAGGCCTTGTGCCAGGAGCCAAGGGTACAGAGACGGATAGGGTAGTCCCAGCCTGTGAGGGTTCACGGAGACACTCCACATGCCACAAAACCACAGCCAAGAGGAAAGTACTCAGTGTAGACAAGTGCTGAGGATGGGGGAAGGGAAAGGCAGGATTTGGAGAAAGTTGCCATCTTCAGACTACTTCCCCCCAGAAAGCTTAGAGTCACACTGGGGAAACCCAGCCACCCCCAGGAGGACTAAGGCAGCACCACACAGCCAGCAATGACGAGCATCTTGGGGCACACACGATGATGCTGGAGAGGCACAGGAAGCCCATACAGAAGGTAGGTGTTCTGGGGAATGTTCCTGGAGGCCCGACAAGCAGCCAGTATGAGCCTTGAAAGACGGCTAGATGCAGACAGTAAGAGCAGCAGTGACAGCCATTGTGGAGCATTCACCATGCGCTGCATACAAGCTGCTAGGCGCTTCACATGCCCTTGTTTGTTTTATCTTCACATCACCCTATGAGGTAATGACCATTATTATCCCCAATTACCAGATTCATAAACTGAGGCTCAGAAAGGCTCAACAGCTAGGAAGGGGCAGAGCCAAGATTCCAGCTCCAGAGTCTGCTCTTGACCACCATTCTATACCATCTCCCCGATTGCAGACAGGCAGGAGGTAGGAGAGGGTGCTTCAGGTGGGGGCAAAGCAAGGGTGAGGAGGTGGGACTAGTTATTGTATATTTGGGAGGAGTCACCCAGTGCCACTGTATTGAGACTGTGTTGTATGTCTGTATGGACATATGCGCACACGTGTGAGCTCATATGTGCCCTGCTTTACAAATGACAGACTCCAGGTTACAAAACACCCTGAAAGCCAAGGCAAGAACCGGCCACTGGCAAAGCAGGGAAGGGAAGCCCAAACAGGAGAAGAAACTTATCAAAGGTCACACAGCCTGTAAACAGAGGAGCTGGAACTAACTCTAAGAACCAGAATACAGGCCTCTTCCCTCTCCTCAGCTGCTTCTCCACGTCCGCGCTGAGTGAATCAGCTGCTGACAGGAAAACCACAGAGCAGCGGGAACCCCAGAGGTGAGTCAGGAACCAGTCAGCCGCGACACCAACTGGGGCTGTACAGAGGCCCTGGGCCTATGGCTGGCTTCCTCAGAGGCAGCTTCAGGGGGCAAGGGGAGGAGGGAAGCAATGCCCCACACTGCTCAGCCCATGTTTACCTCTGGGCTTCCCTCCTGGCTCCTCAAACCCAGGCTTAGAGGAGGGGAAGCTGGTGGGCAGGGCAGTTCCTGCTGAGATTAAACAGACCCCCACTCTGGCTCCATCCTGTCCCAGAGAGGGGCCTAGGCTTTTCCCTCCCTCCCACATCGCACAGAGCCAACTTCTGACTATTTGATGCTCTTGATCAAATCATAACCGCCCCCTCCAAGCTTTCCATGGGGTGGAGGAAGTGGGTAGAACGGTTTGGAGAAAAAGTTTAAGGCTAAGCCAAAACCAGGGGGCGCCAGCTGGCCCCAGATGCTCTAAATCCAAAGGAATGCTCAGGGCTTGGGTCTTCTTTCCCAGAGACAGGAGGGGGCTGTCTGGTCCTTAAGTAGAACAGGCGGTGGAGATGGTGGGGGGAGGAGGAATGAGGAGGAGAAGCTTCTAGGTAGTGGCTCAAAAGTCTGAGGCCTCAAGAGAGAGGGGACTACCCCACACTGCAGAAACTTCAGAGGAGCTCAGAGGAACAAAAATCCACCGTTTACACACAGGGAAAATCTGTGCCCCACTGCTAACCTCTCACCCCAGCCCTCCCTGGGCTGGGGCTAGAAGTGGGGAGCTGCAGGCACTTCTTATCCACCCTGCTCTCAAACCCACTGCAAACTGGCCCAAGCTCCTGCTACTTGGCCCAGATGCCTCCCCTTCACAGGCACAGGGCTTTCTGCAGTGGCTCCCTCTCTCTCTGCAGCACTCACCACATGACCCAGTGCCTCTTCATTCAGTCCCAGCTGCAGACATCCCCAAAGCCCCCCATTATTCCTTGACCACTGGGACCCCCACCCCAGCACAGCTGGAAGACACCATTCCTAAAGTGCCACTCTGATGATGTCACTGTTTCACTCAAAAACCTTCAGTAGCTCTCACTTTCTACAAATCAACTCCAAACATTTCACTTTGGCATTCAGGGCCCTCCATGAGCTGATCCATCCTCCGATACCCCCTTCACATCTCTGCTCAGTCCCAGTTCTTCAGCCAGATTGATCAACTTAGCAATTTCTTAAAAATTCTCTGAACACTTCTGACTTCCTGGCCTCTGCCGAAGCATGTTCCTCTGCCCAAAGCACTGTCTTCCCTGTGGCTTCTGAAAGCCTCCCAATCCTTTAGGACCACCCAAAACTCCACCTGCTCCCTGAAGTTTTCCTTAAGATCTTCTAATCCTTTCTTCATTTATGTCCTATCTGAGTTACTGGTATCCTTGTCTGGGTGTCTTACCAGAAGGTAAACAACCAGAGATGAGGGCAGTGTTTCAGGATTTGTCATTTATCAGGTGAGGTTGAGGGGGGCTGGGGAGGACTTTCCAGTAGATGCTTACTAAGCACTGTTTGAAACAAACATCACCACAATCCCACACAGACACCAACTACTGACCCTCTGCCTCTCCACCATAAAAAATTCTGATCGTGTACAATCAAATGCTGGGAGAGAGAGTCTGTGGCTCCAGCCAGGATCAAAGCCCAACCAGGACTTGGGAACCCAGACAGAAAGTCCTGCTTAAGTCCCACCAACTCCAAGAAGCTCCTTCACCTCCGCCCTGGTGTCTCCAGTGTCTCACTTCTTCCCCCTACCCTAAACACACACACACACACTGTCTCCTCCACACAAGGCAGTCTTTAATCAGACTCTGTCCTACAGTACCTTTCAGCTGGTTCCAAAGTGTAGGGCCCATCTCCAGAAGAGATTCAGGAAGCAGACATGCACACTCCCAGTCTAGTCTGGTGCCCAGCCCTGATAAAACAGTTAACAGGTGCCCACACTGCCCCACACCTCCACCCCAAGCCAAGAGTGCAATGGAAGAGCTGGATTCCAGCCACCAGAGCAGTACAGACCTATGAAATTTCATCTGGCCCTGAGCCATGGGTGTGAGTTATCCTCTCCAGCCAGAGGCATGGTGGAGATTAGGGGGGCAGGGCGGGGGTGGTCCTGTCAGCAACTCAAAATGAGGATAGAACCCAGGTCTGGCTAGCTCACCTCTGTATCCCCTAGCTCCACCTAATGTACAGTAGGTGCTCAGTAAACATGTTTGGGTTTTTTAAATCAGACACCCATCAACCTCAAGCAATATTACAGAAAACTCAGACACTCTTTGGTCCTGATGTCTTATTCCCCTCAGTCTTGAAATGGACAAAGTGATGGTGGTGGCAGGTAGCAATTTCTGGCTTTCACAAGATCAGGAGAAGCTACAGCTAGTCTCCAGCCTTCCAAAAACAGGCTCATTCCCAGGCAGAAAGCCAGCCCATCACCTGCCCATCTACATCAGAGCAGCTGTCACAAAGTGAAGTCTCACTGGGTGCCTGACGCCTTGCTAAGCACTATAGACACATCATTCTATTTAGTCCTCACTACTGCCATCGGATACTGTCACAACCACCATTTTGCAGATAAGGAAACTGAAGCTTGGAGGGGGAGTGGAATCCAAGTCAATTTGTTCTCAAAGCCTAAGCCCTTGACCACTGAACTGGGCTGCCTCGCTACTCTGGCTCGGACACAGAGCGCCCACTACCACAGGGTCAGAAATTTCCAGCCTGAGGAACTAACCCTGGGCATGAAGCAAGAGGCTGGGGCCCTGGGCTTGACTCTAGACCCAGGGTTTAGAGGGGTTTTCCCTGCTCGCCCGGGTAAGAACTTGCATCCTTGTTCCCAAACCAGCCTCCTAGGCCAGCTCACCTGGAAAGGCCCCAGGAGAGGGCAAAAGCCCGGCTAAGTTTCCAGTCTGAAGTCTCACTTGGCTCTTAGAGTTGTGAGGGAGCGGGGTAAGGGGAGACAGAAACTTCCCTGACTTGGGCTCACCTTCCCCGGGGCTTGTGGGTCCAGGCCTCACCCCAGGAATCAGTGTGATCTTTACACCAATTTGTTGAACGTTCACAGGGAGTCTACTTTGCTCAGTGCCACTATGCAGAAAGAGAAGTGCAGTCGGGCAGCGCGATCTCAACACCTGGGGCAGAACAGTGGTATGCTCTCACCTTCCGGGGTTTTAGAAAGGGCGACGGGAAAACGGAGTTCACTTGGTTCAACTCCCTCCGTATACTGGAACCCGAGTGGTCCAGAGCAGGGTGAGGGACGCGCCAGGGAACACACAGCTGTTGCATGGCAAAGCCGAAGGGCTGGGGATGAGGACCCGGGGGCTTTTGCTCCTTCTCACCCACCAGCTGTCTCTGTGGCTCTACCTGTCACTTGTTCCGAGAAGGCTGCCCAAGCGGGCTCTTGAAGTGCGGGCGAAAACTAATTTTGCTATTTGTCTGGTCAGCCGCCCCCTGCCCCCGGCCCCTTCTCACCTGCTGCCTCTTTTTTTTGCTCAGTGCTGTAAGCCCAGCGTCGCCGGCTCGCGCCCCAGTCACCGTCCGACCGCACAGCCTGCGCTCAAGTCGCTCGGTCGTCCCACTCCCGGCGGCCGTCGGGGAACTCTAGAGCCAAGGCCAGGGCCAGGCCCCGCCCTCTCGAAGACACGCCCCGGACACGCCTTCGGCTTCCGGACTCGGGCTCTCCAGCCCCGCCCCTCGGCCATGCCGGAATGCAGCCGGCCTCCCACCCAGACCAGGCTCCTCTCGCTACTGCCCCCCTTCCTCTAACCAGGCCTGCCCCGCCCCGGGCTCCGCCCCGCTATGGCTTCCGTAAACCACCCGCCAACCTCAACCCCAGGTCGCGCAGCGGGTGAGGCTCGCCCTGGACCCGCCTCCTCGGGCCTGTGCTCTTTGTCCCTCCAGCCCAGGCCCTACCGGGACGAATCCTGCCTCTCGCCCTCGCGGGCCCTGCACTCGAACCCTGCTGGGTGGAAAGCCCCCCTCACAGCCTTCCCTAACGCTCCGCTCTTCCTCTGCCTTTTCCATCTTTCCCAGGCCTGGCCTTCTGTGGTCCTCATCTCTGTCACATTCACCTTCGGGCCTATCCTCGCTCCCTGGGCTGCTTAGACTGAGGCCGAGCCCCAGCCACGCTCCTTACCCGCCTCAGCGCCTCTCTATCCCTGCCCTGACAACTCAACCCGGGGCGGGCAGCTTTGGGGCCCGCACGCGCATTCCAGGGCGGGTGTATCCGGGTACAACCGGGAACGGCTTGGGAGCGGTTTGCGTTCCAGGACAGGACCTCTATCAGCAAGCAGCCTGGGCGCAGGTACTTTTTGAAAATGCTAACTACAGACTGAGCCCTTGCCAGGGGCCAGGCTGTATGTCAAGTGCTGCGAGTACTAGCCCTCAATTTGCACAAATTTATGCAGATGGACTAATGTTGCACCCATTTTACTGATGAACAATCTGAAAAGGGAAGTTGTGGCCTCTGAGTCTCACTTTGGAGGTGAGCAGGATCCAGGTGCAGGCCCTGAATCACAGGCTTAATGCTGCCACAGCTTGCCTGAACTGGCCCCTGGAGAAGTGGCCTGGGCCAGCCAGCTGCCTGAGGTGAGGGAGGAGGTGTGAAATGATGAGGGGTTGACAGAAGGGCATGAGCCCCAGAAGTTGGTTTTCTCCTTTATGAAGTGGCTCAGAATTAAGGTGGGCTGCAGAAGATCTCCAGATGCTCCCATCTGCACCTCAGCCCTCTGCGTTCCTAGGCCCTAGGGACTAGCCGCAGGCAGGTTACCAGTTAGGACCATTCACTTGTGCAGCTGACAAAGCTCTTTCACTCCCATTATCTCAGCATCTCACAAGGAAGCCATTGTGGGAAGGGTATGATTAGTCCCATTTTGCATGGGTGGAATAGGGTGGGGAGCTGGATTCCTGCCCAGCTCAGTGGTTCCCAAAGCATGGTCCTTGGGCCCACAGCAGCCACAGTAGCAGCAGCTGGGAACTTGGTAGGAATGTGTGTTTTAGGGCCCCATTCCAGACCTACTGAGTGAGAAACCTCAGAGAAGCCTAGCAATTTTTTTTAAGAAGGCCTTCAGGTGACTCTGAATTACACCCAAGTTTGAGAACCATTGTTGAGCATAATGGTGAAGAAGTCAGGGTGGTCTGAGAAACACAAAGACCTTACAACCCTTGCAACGTAAGTATTTAACCTCTCTCTATGATGAGCTGTCAAAGGGGAATAACAATAATGACACCAGTCTTGAGGGTGGCAGTTGAGTATGATAGCATTCAGGGAGTGTTTACCCACTCTTGGATACTGTACTGCTCAGTATATGTTCTCTTTCTAGTAAAAAGTCTCCTTCATAGAATCTCCCACACCAAGTCAGGGTGGTGGGCTGGGTAATCTTTAAGAGCAGCAGTGTTGTCCTCTGTGGGACACAGAGGAACACCATCTTTTCTGCAAGGGGCCAAGAGCCTAACAAGATCCCAGATGATGTCAGTGCTGCTGTTCCAGGGACCACACTTTGAGAACCACTATACTATTTTGTCTTGGGCTGGGTCCCTAGCCAACCCATACAAAATGAGCATAAAATACCCTCCTCTTCTACCCAGCTCCATAGCCCCTCCCAACAAGCTGGGGGTATTTGTGATGGTGATTGACAGTTGGCAAAACAGCTGGATCCCATCTCCAGACATTCAATCACATTAATCCCATCTGCTATCCTTTCCTGTGTCTGTCTCTCCAGATTAGAGATGGAGGCAGCTTCTGGAATCTCCACCATACTCCCTCACCATTCTCTGAAGCCTGATAGAAGAGAGTCTTGCTATAGACTCATGGCCTAGAGCAGTGGTCCTATTCTGCAAAGCTAACATGTTAATAGTGAAAATTGAGGCCCACATTTAACAAACTAAAATAAAATATTTATTCTTTTGCTTTAAAAAATATCTTGATAATAACCAAGAAGGCCATGTTCAAATTTAGAATTCTTGAACTCTTTGAAATTCTCTACAGGAACATGGTAGTGTGGAGTGGGTATGCCCTGACCCCAGCTCTCACTTCACCCACCCCAATTTGCTTCCTAGCCCCATATCTGTCCCGTGTCCCAAATGGCCTAGGATTCATGTATATGAAAACCCTAGTCCACATGTCCAAAGTCAATCATCCTTCTAGGGGTACTCACGGGAGCAAGTTGTACCCTCAGAAGTGTGGATGGGGGGAAGTTGCTTATGTAAGCCCTAAAGTTGAGCTTGGGCCAATTAGGCAGAGATTTCCAGGGTTTTAGATACCTGAAGCATGGTCAAGGAGAGGAGCAGGACTCAGCCTCTGAGTGGATATAGGCGGCTCTCTTGCCTAGCTCTGTCGGTGGTATTGTTGTTTGGCCTTGTGTCTACAGCACCTAGCACAATAGTTGGCACATATTGAAAGCTTAAGGGACAGTAATTGAGTAGATGGGTCTGTCTCAGAGTTATTTATTGAAATTTCAAATTGGGTTGGCACTCTCAGCACCCCCTCTCTCTTCCAGGAGGACTCAAGCTTTGTCTTGACTTAACCTTGGACATTTTGCTGGACAGAGAGCAGAGCCACTTCTAGTGAGAAACTCCTTCCAACTTCTCTAAAATTTTTTAATCCATTCCCAAAGTCAAGCTAGGAGTTTAGGAGGTGGGAAAAGGGGCAAGAAGAACAATTCTAGAAAGATTTGAGAGAACATATCAAATGGTCAGCTTGGAGGTAGGGGAGATAGTTGTATGACAAGACCTCAAAAGGGTATCGCCATGGGATTCCCAGCCTCTCAGAAGATTCCTCCACCCTAAAGGTAGTACAGGAGCTGTGGAGCAGGAGACCTGAAGGTCCTTGGACTCAAGAACATAGGCATCAGGGGCTTCATACAGTGGCCTAGGTTAAGGTCCCAAAGCTTTTGCACAACTCTGGATAGAAAGAGGGAGGGAGAGTATGCATCTGTTTCCTGTTGCTATGTAACAAACCACCCAATCATTTATCACACAAACCTACTATTTAGGGTATATTTGGTGGGGAAGGCTTGTCTGTGCTCTATGCAATGTCAGCTGGTTTCAATTGGAGGCTGAGAATCCATTTTCAGCATGTCACACTCACATGGCTAGCCAGTTGGTGCTAGCTGTCAGTTGGGAGCTCCGCTCGAGCAGTGGACCATGTCTCAGTTGCTCTCCATGTGGCCTCTCTGCAGGCTGCTTGGGCTCCCTCACTGCAAGATGGCTGGGTTTCAAGAGCAAAGGGCAAGCTAGGAGCAGAAGCCATGCAGCATCACTTCCTTTGTGTTCTATCAGAGACAGCAGTCACAGGTCCCGCCCAGCTCAAGGGGGAGGAGACACAGTCTCCCTCTCTTGGTGAGGTGTTGACAAAGTTCTAGAAGAGATTGAAGGACAGAAGATACTGTCGTAGCCATTTTTGGAAAATGTAATATGCCCTAAGTGGGTCCTCAGAATGAGTGGAGTAGAATTTCCTCTGGTGGAAACTGAGAGTCTGAATTAAGCTGATTTAAAGGAAAAGGTATGTAATGTTTCTTGCATAACTATTTGTGTTCAAATGAATAAGTCCAGTGGACAATGAGTACTCAGTTTATTTAGGATGTTACATCTTCAGAAAGTCCTCAGAATAGATTAACACCTTCCTCGAGTCAACCTGTACTCTCCTTAAGGTTAATTTTCAATAGCACTCATTTGTTCCTCACAACAACCCCCATGAGCTACATACTGTCATGATCCCCATTTCTAAAATGTGAAACGGAGGCACTGAGAAGGTAAGTAACTTGCTCAAGAAAAAAGAAATGACAGTTTATAGCCAACCCAGTTTTCTGTTGCAGAAATTGAGCCCCAGGGAAAGGCCCAGGTTGGGCAGGACCTAGGTGCCCAGATTCTGAGCACTTAACATTGAGCCATGTAGTCTATCCCTAAAGGCTCACACTGGGTCAAAGAGCTCCCCACAGGACTCCAAGGGGCCTTGCTTGCCACAGAAAGAATGCTGGCCCCTGAGGAGCTGGTCTCTAGCCCATGCTTGGGGCAAGCTTTGTCTCATACTGTCCTCTTGTTGGGTCTCCAGCCAGGAAGTAGGTGTAGCAGTTTCTCTAAACTGAGTCTATGCCACACAGTAATTCTTGCCTTTGAAGGGACTCAGCAGGGCTACCAACATTTACTTTTTTCTTCAAAGGTTTTAATGAGGATCTGAACTCTAAGTCCCTTATCTCTGGATTGTAGCTGGGACAAGTCCCAAGTTCCCACCTAAGAGACTGAGCCATTGATTCCTTTCCATCTCAGTCATTTAAGAAGGATCATTAAGCCCCCTGCTGTGATCCCACTCTGTCCTCTGCTACATCTGAAGTTCCAGGGGTTACTCGCATCAACCATGACTTCAGGAGGCTTTAGGCATGTGGGGAAGCTGACTCAGAAGCCTGTGCAGTGGTGCACCAGTGTTAGAATACCTGCAGCAACTACAGCAATAATACAAGCCACCTTTGTTTGTAAAGTGTGCTGTTATCATGTGCCAGATATTTAAAAAATGGCTTTGAGTGTATTTAATTTGATACTTAACATTTATGTAGCACTTTACATATTATAAAGTTTTTTTTAAAACTTTTAATAACTGTGGCACTTGAGTAACAACC